CGCACGTGTGTGTGTGTGCGTGTATGTGCGCGTATGTATGTGCCCAGGGAGGTGGGGGTGGTGTCAAACGGAGAGCATAAATTGGAGCCAGAGCGTGTGCGCAGCGCAGTGTGTGTGTGTGTCTATGTGTGTGAACAGCTCATCCCTTGCATACCTGCTCCTTCCCTCTTCCTCTGGATATGTATACATATATGATGTGCTTATATATGTATATGCGCATTTTCAACTTTTATTTTCTTTTTATAAAAAATACGTGTTTTTTTAGTGGCGCGCGCTGCTGGATTTTCTCAGGCTGATGGCACGGGGGAGAATACTCCTCTTTTTCTTTTTTTTTTTTTCCCTCTTTTTGGTTTTTAAACAACTGCGGCATCCCAGCACCTGATTTTCCCTTCCTGCATGCGTGAAAACCTCCCTACCTGCCTACCTCTTCCCTAACCCCCTCCACCCCACCCCCCAGAACATCTCCCCTTGATACCCTGCTCTCCAGCCCCCAGAAAAAGGAGAGGGCTTCGGCAGGACCCCCCGTTCACCCTTGGATGGAGAATAGCAAGAACTGACGGAACTATGAGAACGGGAAAAACCAGGATATACGCTTCTGTTTTCTCCACTAGAGCGAGAATGCGAGGAGAAAGAACCAATCTAAAGATAATTTGGTGCTTAATGTCAGTAGTTTTGCAGCAATTGACGGTGCTTCTGGGTAATCCTTGTATGTGATTTGATGCTTGTGGCTGTAACTGATGTGTTTTGGAATATTGTTATGTTCTGTATGCATATGTATGCATTTATTTCAACTGTCATCATCAGCTTCAACTCATTTATGTGATGTGATTTTAACCGTACTTGTTTTTGCTTGCCGTATAGGTGCGCGTATGCTGAGAGAGAGAGTGAGAGAAATAAAAATACAGAGAGAGAGAGAGAGAGAGAGAGAGGTGGGGGGAGAGAGGGAGAGAACAGACTGTCATAGGGAAGCGCTAGCTTTACATTGCGATGCTGGCAGCCGTCTCATCATGGCGGTGGACGTGCTGAATGGAGGAGAGGAAGAGCAGTGCATAGCTTTGCATCTTCGCACATCCCTCACGCACAGATTTGCTGGTCCTCTTTGTTTGGCCGAGAGTGGAAAAAGGTCTGCTGGAATGAAACAGAAAGCAGGTGCCAGAGCTTCATGCAGAATGGGTACAACAAAAGGTAGATTCTCTTTATCTCCCCTCTATCTCTTCCACTCTCTCTCTCTCTCTCTCTCTCGTAATTTCTCAGGTCATGCATTCGGTATAGAGCACAGCTAGAAGAGGTCTGAATGTATTTGATTGGAATGTTTTTGTGCATATGTGTGTAAAATATGACCATGAGAAGCTTTGTGTTGCATTGTCATGTATGTTTTGTTCTTACCACACATCTAGGCCGATGGAAGACGGGAATTATGCGATTTAAAACTGCACACACATGGAGAATCCTCTGAAAGATGTGCGATGGTGCGTTTGTAAGTGTCTGTGAGTGTGAGTGTGTGTGTGAGAGATTAGGACTTCTGGTTTCGACTGCACAGCAAAGCCCACATCAGATGCAGATGCAGGAGGAGGAGGACAGGTGAGAAGAAATAGATTTCAGTTGAGTACAGATACGTGGTATTGTCCTGAAGGACAAGAACAGGATGTGCAGACTGCATAGGGACCAAATACAGACAACGAGAGAAGTACACGACCGAACCGTTAGCCTTGAGTACAGACCAGATGAAGAGGAACAGAGAGAGTTTGTACGAAAAGACAAAGTGGACGACGTTCGGAAACCTGGGTTTTTGCTCTTTGTGTTCACAGTGGACCTTGATTTAATTTCAATACAATTAAGGCACGCGGTGAATGCCAAGAGAGAAGCCAACAGCAGCACTCATCTGAGCGACCGATCAACGTGACTGAGTCATGTTGTGTACGGTCACTGCAACTGTGGTTTCATATTAGCCATCATGTACACAATAAAATAATACACTGCATCATCCCACTGTCACCCCCTGAATCACAGCAATATCATGAAAGCAGCTCCCCTTATACATCGCAAACACTTAAGAAGACCAACGAATAGTCATCACATTGAAAAAATAAACCCCACACATGAACACAGGGCCTAATACGCATATAATCATTTACGAAAAGCATGGCTGCATCTTTCCCAAACCATTAGATTATATTTAGTGACAATGCTCTGGAAAAGGCTCGAAGGCAAAAACTGCAAAGGTTGCGATATGACCTACATTTCACAACACAAGCAATCATTACAAGCACTGGAGTGCAATATGCAAATGCAGTGTAGTGAGCATGGGATTAAGGGCTTTTTAAATTTAACCATATATTTTGTGCAATTAAAAAAAAAATGCTAGCATATTTCACGATTCTGTCATTTCTGACAGCATTGTCCAAATCTGTGACGCAGTGAATTTACAGTAAGATCAGGCCCGTTGCAACAAACCCTTTACGTTTAAGAAAAGCCTTATTTTTTTAGGGTTTGTTGCAAACTGCTACAGGAGATATTAAACGGGAGTACAGCACAAACACCAACATATGAGGCCCACTGTCAAGCTTCTGCGATTCAAATAATGTCCCTTCTAGCTAATAAATCACTTGGCACGTGGCGCAGATGTTTAGAGGGGTCAAAGTTTACGTATTTATTTATGACTAATGATGAATTTTACTCACAAAAGAAAGGCAAACAGGGTCTGGGATGAGGCTCTCCCCCTCAGGCTAGAATTCTGTCGAAAGAACACACAACTGTGAAGACAATAAAAGCAAATATTAATCACTCTGACAGTCATTCAAGCCGCACGTGACGATGCTGGTGTTGTATTTTACGCTTTTATACATTTACAGAGCATTTTGTTTTAGTTCGTAGGCTACAACTTACAAACCTTTAAGACGGACTACTTTTTTTCCCACACTTCACATTCACCTCTTGACGTAACAATTGCCCGATCACTACCAAGACGCTTTTGGAAATCAGTGGCCTATATAATTTTTTTTTTCTTATTTAAAATCATATAAATATATTAATGTTGCAGTTATGAACGTAGGTTGAGAGTTGGAACGTTAACTTGCACTTTAATCATGTCGAGGTTATGTCACTCTTGAATTCCACAATACGACCACATCGAATAATTAAAATAAATAAAAAATAAAATAATTTTATTTTGGATCAAAGAATAATTTGGCAAATTTTGATATAATTAAAACGTTTCGATATAATGTCAAATATAGCCTATGTAGCTGTCTAATATTCGGTCTCTGCACAAATATACAATCAAAGATATCAACAAATGAATTTATTAAATAAGGTAGGCTTATATATATTTAAATTGGTTTAATTTTGCCCTTTTCTTTCAAAATCCTCAACAGAGGAAAAACAGATATGATATGGCCTACGTCAGATTAGCCTATTTTAATGTGATTTCGAAAAAAATTAAGAGCAAATTACAAATCATGAATATTTTGAATTAATTAATTTGGATAATTTCTTTGTCATTTAAAAACACATATGAAAATCACCGCTGTTTATGAGAAAATGTATTAGCCTCTTTAAATCTAGACAAACAAACACCTTTAAATATGCAAGGCTTTGCATATAATTATTATCCTAAATTCAGATTATTTTTCTTTTCAAGTTAAAATCGTGTTATTTGTCTATTTTATTTAGAACTTGTGTTAAATATATTTTATGCAAAGGACATTTAAATGGCCCCTTTCATATTTTCGTTCGGCCTCCATATATTCGTTTGAAATAAATCAGTCCGTCGGTGTAGTACAGAAATTATTTTATCATGTAAATTGCATCTTTTGCAGACATAGCCAGGCGTTACTAATGGCAAAAATACACGCGCGCGCTCTTGATAATGCGCTGAACGCATGCGGCTGCTCGACTGTCAACACACTGATAAACGCAGCGCGCGCTCCTTCTCGCCCCACACCCCGCACACAATCCGGACGGCTACGGCAGCAGGATAAAAAGCGATAATACTGTCTGGATACAAGAAGACCCCAAATCGGAAATTCACAACATCTATTGCTCTTGAAACCGAGACTGATTGTCTTCAGGCCTGCATCTCTTTGTTATTCAGGTGCAGCCTGTTATCAACGGCTACACGGATTTGATTCTCTGCAGACTTTCCTGTGGCCTGCTCTGTTATAGCTATTGATCCAAAACCATGCAAGATAGACATATTTTATACATACATTAGCTTTTTTCGTCCTCACGTTTAAACGTTTTCCCAAGAAATTATATTTGAGGTTGTGATATTCTTCGAACCTAATGGCACCCCCACAGTTTTTATTACACAAAATGTAGGCCTAGATCAAAATGTAAACATCAGCAGGGATGACCACTATCTATTTTCCTTTGAAGCTAAGCAGACTTTATTTTCAGAGAATGTTAGACACAGGGACAGACTACTGCATCTGTCTTAAGCACACATCGCATCAACGGTCTCAGAGACACGTGCCACCCCCTCCCCACCTTTATGTTGTCTGGGGATCCCAAGAGGTTTTGGGGTCCCTGGGGAGAGAGAGGCCGAGGTCAGAGAAGGGCCCCTCAGGCGGCATGATATAGACAGACGGGAGGTTGAACCATGTGCTGCATCTCATTCCCCCTCATACATTAAACACCCCCCAATATCATCCGTGCACAGTCACACACACGTTTGTTTCACTAGGCTATATTAGTGAGGACATTGCATAGACTTACTCTGATTTTATAATTATATTTTTTATTGCCTAACCAAATTCCTACCTCTTTAAACCTTCCAATCATGCAAAACATATGAATAAAAACACATTTATAAATCTTTTTAAAGTGACGACCAGTAAAATGTTGGTTGTCACACTATTTCACACTTGGCCCTCACAAGTAAAGCCGAAACTACACACACACAACCCAAATAGGAAGGCTAATATTTTTAATGCACTAAAGACTCAAACATTCACATTATACCCAAACTGATTCAGACCCACATAAGGCTTCTTGTAAAATTTTTTTTTTTTTGCACTTAAAAAGGCAGAGCTCTGTGCTGTCACAAATTAAAAGGTTTAATTGATTGATGGCTGTGACCACACTGACACTGCAGCCTTTGACAAATTACCCAAGCTCAAAACCGTTGGGATAGTTAAATTGTCTCAAACTCAATGTGAAATTTAACCTCATAAAACAAAGTGAAAGGTTTGGAGATGTTGCACACTGAAATACAATACAAACCACAAAACCTTCAAAATATGGGCTGATTGTGAGTGTGTGGGCCAGTGTGATATTCTTTACCTTCTGATTGTAAGGTCAAATTAGAGAAATAAATATGAAACAAACATGCTGTGTCTTTCTTTACATGCATCTGTAATATTAAATGTATCTGTTCTGAGAATGTGAATTCGTTCAGGGATTTTTAAAGGGACAGCTCCCCCCAAAATGAAAATGTTTTCTTTCTTCTGTTGAACACACAACAAATAATGTTTTGAAAAATGTTGGTAACCAAACAATTTTGTTTACCTCTGACATTCATCATTGTACAGACAAAAAGCTTATTTCTCAAATTTCTATTCAAACAGGTTTGGAACATGAGGGTAATACAATAAGATTTTTTTATGAACTATGCTTTTAAAGAGTAAAGTGATATGTTTTGTTAAAGGAGTAGGCCTAGAACTACTCACAGACTAAGGGAATAAAATAAATACATTATTTTAACATCAAATTAACAATTAATGTCATAAGTGCGACTTATTCTTTAATCAAAGGGTCGTTCGGACCAGTTTAGGGATGCACATGAAAAATGAAGTTGTACCGCCCCCTGTTGGACAAGCATGCTCAATTATACATGGTGCCGCCATTTTAGGATTTACACGTCTTGTCTCCTGTTATTTTAGGATACAGATGTAACGGGATGCAACTACAAATCCCATCAGCAATAGCGTTATAAAAGGGTACCCAGAGCATCCCGTTACAAACATGCAGCTTAAATAAGTGTACTCTTTTCAGAAAATGATTATTCAAGAATTTAGCGATTATTTAAAACATAAGCTTTGTTTACACACTCGAGGTACATCTACGTTCAGGTTGGACGTGTAAACAGCGTCATCCAAAGGCGAATTAAGAATTTGCGTCTGTCTATTAAACAGGTAAAGCATGCCGCAGATAAAACAATACAATCACTCTCGTTAATATATAATGAAAATGAGAACAACATTTTTAAAATAATCGTAGCCTATTTCTTATTACATCGAGATCAAGAGAAAAGCTGGCCAACCCACAGAAAATGGAAAAAAAACAAAAACATTTCAACTCTTGTAAGGAAGAAATCTCATCTCCAAAGCTTTTTAATTGTAAATCAAGCATTTTCTTCTTTGCGATCTTACTCAACCACCAAGTTAAGGGGTTATTGGTGAATTAATTTAAATTTAGTTCAAAAGTATGTTCACAATACTTAACCCAACTATTGATTCATTAATGTGGCAACCACTTCCGCCATTGCTTCCTGAAAAGAAAAACATTGTGTTTGAGACAAATGACAGTTAAGCAGATGGCCATGGATACAGTGTGCCATCACAAAGTAGCATTACAGCAAATTCTAATCTTACTATCAATTCAATTCTTCAGAAAGCAAACAGACTTGAAGTTTTGTGCAGCATCTTTATTCTGACACTGCTCAGTTCCGCAGTTGTTTAACGCACTGACATGAACAAAGTAGAAGGGGTGAAGTGCGCAGGCAGCAAGTGTAGGAGAGGAGTGTGGGTGCTGGGTGGACGGACCAGGCTGTTTGGGACATGTACTTAGTCAAACAAGGGGAAAATGCAACACACAAGTTCTGCCGAGTATACCACATTTATTTTTAATGAACTGATTATGAGAAAGAGAGGGCACAAGGCCCATCTCAATGCAGACTTAAGAAACTGAAGAGAAAGACGAGAACAAAAAAAAAAAAAAAAAGACGGGAGCAGAGCAGCCCATAGAAACTATTTTTTTCTTTAACTTGCAGAAGAAAAGGAGTAAATGGAAAATAAGCTGACGTCTCTCAAACACAGCCCCCTTTTATACACTATAAAACTGATCCAGTGAGCAAAAGCCTTAACTCAACAAATTGCCTAGTCCATTTACTGTCTCCTGCCAACCAAACACCCTCTATTACAAAAAAAAACAAAAAAACAAAACAAAAAAAAAAACAGGACATTCCTGAACATTCATTAGATTTTCTTTTTTAATTACACTTTTCCATTTTATAATCTTAGTAAACTTTTTTTTTCCTCAGAAGGTAATGAGACTTTTACTGGACTAGTGGCCAATTAACCAACAATGGAAGATCCACTGAGAAGGCGACGATCATTGCACGTCCTGAATGGATGGTTTCATCTCCGATAACGAGAAGGAGTTAACAGAGAAATGACATAATAGAACACTAGAACTCTGTTAAAAAAAGAAAAGAAAACCCTCAAGATTGTAAGAGAAGCAAAGTCATGTGCTTGGACTGTAAAAACAATGAAAACTTTTTTTGGGAGAAAAGAGGCAGCAGAACAAAAATGGGACCAACAAAAGTGGGAAGTACTGGGTTCACTATTAGAATCCTATAGAATTAAGTTGTAGTCCTATGAATAATCGTGTCATTTTCTTTTACTACAAGTTCAAAGTAAGTCTTTTAGGTCAACAGAAATCAGAGTCTTCATTGAGTTTCTTTTTTTTTTCCTCTTTTTGAATCCTTGGTTAAATCTTCCCCAAAATAATTTCTGAAAATATCTGGTAAGATTGGGGAGAGAAAATAGGGCCTTGTCAGTCTTTTGCCCAAAGCGGTGTCTGTTACTTCACACGTCCTTGACGATCCTGGAAGAGAGAATGAACAACTGTGAACAATGGATGCTGAGAGGTCACTGGCAGCAAATTCTACAAAAATTACATTTGAACTCTTATAGGGCTGGGCATTGACAAATGTCATGATAAAATTTTGATTCACAAGTTTGCAATTTAAGTCGATATAGATTAATTGGGGCCTATCAAGCGTTGCAAATTTCCTCCAGAGAAAAAATAAAATAAAACTCATGCTGCAAACTATAAAAGGAACCCCAGTTGGAATATTACTAAAATATTAAATGTTAAAAGTAACCAATATGTAGGGAACTTGCATTTAAATTACATACAAGGAAGTATTTGAATGATAGTTGATAAATCTACTTTTTTTTTTTTAAATAAACATTTATAAAAAAGCTTTAATACTGAAGATTTATAATACAAGTTAGGTAAAAATTCAATATAGTGCATATATTTAATAAAATACTTCTCTAGAGTTAATTTTTCTAGCTGACTATCGACAATGGATGGCTTTTCTGATGTAAATTACCTGACAATGTTTACAAGCAGCTTTATTGACGCCTTTGGTTGAAACACTGATTAAGATTACATGAGACATGATCATACCAAAATCGCTATTTTTAAAACACTAAGAAGGCTTGAAGTATTACCAGGGGCTCTACACCTGAACTTGAGCATTGTGTACATGAAGTTTACAAAAAAGAAATTTTTTGTACGACTCACTTTATCAGTTCAGTTTCCGGCTGCCTGCATTTTGTCAGTCAAAAATAGTCGATCACCAAATGCAACTTTTGACTCAGGTAGACATGCCAAAATAGGCTCTTTTTGCTAGAACTACCCTTTAAAGATCGCGAAATACCCTTTAAAGATTGTAATAAAGTGAAAGAAGCTTTATTTTAAATGTTGTTAATATGTCTATGAGGTGTTTTTAATATGCCTTAAGCAATGGTGTTGACTTGCACATGGTTTTTCTTAGTATTTTCTCTTAAAAAAAACAAAAAAAAAAAACAAGCGGTTTGAAATCGCTGGCACTGGACGTCACACACTCCCTTTATAAACCAATCACGTCAACGATTGCCAAGGAGTGGCCTTTGATATATATATATATATATATATATATATATATATATATATATATATATATATATATACACACACACACACACACACACACACACACACACATTTAATGCCATAAAAACATTTAAGAACGTTCTCAGAGCATATTTTTACTAATGCATCAAATGACTAGTCCAAACAGTCTAAAGCACATTCAAGTTGCGAAACTGTCAAATGTCAGGGCCATTTACAAGCATGCAGACAGATTGAGGACAGTATGAAAGTGGCGAATCTGCAAGATGCGTCACCTGCATTCTGTAGTGGCTCCGACTGGAGTTACTGGAGTACGGGTCACTCCCCTGAACCTCCACCTGCCCAAGAGAGAAATAGTTTAGTCAAATCCTTTTGGAATGCCAAATAACAACATTCAAATGCAAATTACAGAGAACAACAATATTTGTATACCAGGCCTAATATTGATTCATTTGACAATGACCATTCTTGAATTGATCAATCATCAAATTGGACCAAACAATTTAAATGTCCAGTTTCTCATCAGTGAACAAGAATTTACTAAATTAATAAATAAAAATCTCTCGATTCAATGACTGACAATTTTTAACAGTCACTTGTTGCCACCTGGTGGTGTAAAGTTGTAATCGATGCAATAGTTATTTGAAGCAGCACATTTCTTTCAAAAGAGTTGACCGATTGATCATTAAAAGACAGCGATCTTGATTCAAACACCCACGCAATCTCATTCCTTAATGACAACTATTAAACCTTTTACAAATCCCACCGAAACATTCAAATCTGCGTTTGCTCTGCCACTGACTCGGAGAAAGCAGTTGTATTGGTATGAAACGCTTCAGTCTTTTCAAACACACTGTATCATTACTTCTGTTACAAACATTAAAATGATCACAGAACTGGGATAATCGTATCATTACATTATTACAAAGTATCATTACATTGTTACACCACTAAGTGGCAACAAGTGACAAATGTATTTGTCACCAAATCATTCATTCAACTCATTAAAGAGATTTGTTTAAAAACATTGATTCATCCATAAATGAAACAAGAATGAATGGATCATTAAATCATTTATTCAGAAAGATTAAAAAAAAAAAATTCTTTCAAAATGGAGAGATGCACTTAAGCCCAAAGCATACTTCGTTTTTTACGCGTGAGGGTCTGGAAGATAGCACTTTGTACATGCAGGTTTTATTTAGCATTAAGTTGCTAATCATTAAAAACGAAATTTGGGAAAAAATAAAATGGAATTAGGGAAAAAATAAAACTGATTTTATAGGGTCAGCGCAATTACCACAATAAACTAACACCAAGCCAGAAATATACTATATTAAACAAACAGCAAAGAAAAGTCATGAATCAATAAATTAAATGACAAAGAATAAGTGATCACACCACCCATATATCACGTTAGTATACATGTGCCACTAAACATGGTCTCACACGGTTTTTATTGTGAGAAAAAAAAAAAAAAAAAAAAACACCTGCAAGTCTGAATTATGGGCAGCAAAATGTTTTTCAAGTAACTTGATGTTCTCTTGCAGTGATACACAGTAACTGCAAGAGCTGTGCTACTTGTGGTTGGGAGTTTTTAAGGTGGGCTTAACCGAAAGTTTGTCATCTGACATACTAACATTCTGGTCAAACAAGTGGGGTTATAGGGATTCAAGCTGGTAAACACTGTTTGAAAGAAATTGAGAAAAAACATTTTTTTAATTCTAAAGATTTAAACTGCATGAGCGCCACATAATGAGTTAAGAGACATTCACCTCAATCTTGACTATCTCCTGCAAAACAGGATCTTTAAACTATTTGTCCATACAATGATTGAACCTCAACCTTTGATTGAACATAACTGTTGAGCAGAAATTCATCCAGGTTTGGAATGACAGTAATGGAAAGGAACTTTTTTCTTTTCTTTTTACAAGCAAATAGGCTAGGCCAATTTTCATTAAGCAAATTTATTTGTTGTTTATTTGCTCTATAACAGGTCAAACCGACCTTTAATTTCAAAACCAGAAAGGTACGACTTCAGATCTGTTAATTAAAGCTACATAAGACACTTAACTTCACAAACCCAAAACAGTACAGACGTATGTTACTAAATGTGGCTGATACATAAAAGATGTATTAGCTAGCTTTCATGAACTGCATTATGCAATATACATTTTTACTGCATGTATTAATATTTTAACATTACCATTGCACTTTGATCAATCATGATAGTTCAGTACGTTACAGTAATAACATCAAATACAAATTAAAACTCAATTTAAAATGTATTACTAAATGAAGAGTTCAGATGCAAAAGCCTCTAAATGCCATTTTAAATTTTCTTCTAGAATGATCATTTATATCAAGCTTGTATATTTAAGTTCAGTGATTTCACTTAAATGGCGATGATAATTACCTATTAATTGTTATTTAAGTGAAATTACTGAACTTAAATATACAAGTTTGATAAAAATCATCATTAAAGAAGAAAATTTCAAATGGCATTTAGAGGCTTTTGCATCTGAACTCTTCAAATGTTGAAATTAAACTAACCATGAATAATACTTCATTTATTAACCTTTCTTAATGCTAAAAATGTAATATTATTGTTAAATGTTACTATTTCATTTAAATCCAAAGTAGGGATGTGAATTTCTGCCAAAAATGCCATTTGAAAATCGTGAAGCAAAAGTCGATTATCGTTAGAAGAAAAAAAAAAAAACACCTACATACAATGACAGAAAGGGAGGCCAAAGGTCAGTTTCATCTTTAGTGATTTGTCAAACAAACTGTTTATTAATTGAACAAGTAACATGTTTTTGTCGTTTTTCTAACATACCGGTAGTTAACAAAAGAAAATAACAATAAGCATAACAGTCCGTTTTTACATCGCCAATCTAGATGCTCGTTAGTTAAAAAAAAAACGTCATATGCCAATGATTTTGTGTGAACCTGCCTTGCTACTGCAATAGCCTACTTTTTAAACAAATTAGTTTCAATCAAATGTATAGGTCCAAAAACAGATAATGTCATCATACTGGTATCGTTGCGTGATAATCGTTGCGTGATAATCTGTTTGGTTGTAAAATGTATTACCTGAATGAAATGAACTCAAATGTCTCATCCTGTGGAATCATTCATTCACAGACAGCATACGAAGATGATCAACTAGATCTTATCGCTGGCAAAAATTTAGCATTTGCAGATTTGCTTTCACTAGCCTTACTGTAGATCCACAGCCACTTAATTCAACGCTCTTGATGTTCTTAAAATCTTCCTGTCACGACTCCTGAGTCAAGTGTGAATTAAAACGCTTCAGCGCATACAGGAAACTGAACAGATCATTCAAACTGATTCGCAAACTAAAAAAAAAAAATTAGACAGCCAACTTGTTTGATGAAGTCTTTGAACAGAACTCATTTGTAAATTGGGCATCACTCATGCCTAAAAAGATACCGCGCTTGGAATAAACTAGGAACGTGGCCCAATGTAACAAAGTAAATGTAACCTACTTTGTTACTACCATAGACAGTAAAGGTTACTACCCACCTTTGTTAGCGGGCACAAAAATGCTCTTCTTCTGTTGTTTGTCCTAGATCGAGCAGTAGGGGGTTTCATTCATGTTAGAGACACCTTGTGTCCCCGACAGGAAAAAAACACTGCTGCGCGATCTGTGACAGTAGGTGCCCTGTCAATTACGTCACATTGGAATTGCGCAAACTATAACGATATTTGAAAAAGCAATTATATGATCGAATTTCGAATGTAGTTCGACTATTTTAAGATCGCGACTCATCCCTAATCCAAAGAGTCATGCTTAAAGATGGACATATTTAAATATCTGCAAAGGCCAGGAGCATTAAAATTTCATGTATATTCCCTCACTTTATTTGCTTATATTTTAGAACACCTGATTATGATGACAATATGTATTGCAGCGATAAAGGAACTGAAATCAAACGCGTTTCTAATTTGCTCGTTTCTGTCGGTGGCATGAACATATCAATGTTGAGATAATCACATCACTAGCTTTAAATGTAACTTTGCCGGCTAATGAATGCACAAGTGACCAGCTGGATATAAACTAATGGAAATAGATGGTAACAATTGCGACAAAAAATTTGTCAGTACATATTGCCATATCATTATAAAGTAATTCATTTGTTGACTAGATGCTGCATTAGTGTTCTGTATTCATACAGTTTCGCTGTTGATGTTTTAAATGCGCATCTGAAGTGCCAGCGCTCTCCGTGAAGCCTCACGTGTTAACGTAAACAACTCAGCCAGTGATAGTTTTTTTCAGTGTGGATTTTTGCAAATAACGATAGTTCCACCAATCAACTGTCGGTACCAATATATTGGCAAAACCGATGAAGTTGACCTCTACTTATAATCTAGCTTATTTGTGCATTAAACCACAAATCTGCATTTCAATGACCTGTCGCAACATGGCACATGTGAGGTTGCATTTTCAAAACATTGAAAGTGTTTGTCTTATATAAATGTGTATGTGACAAGGGAAGCTATCTTAATCTTCTTCTGAATTAGATAAAATAAAGAACTCCATTTCTAAGAGCATACAAGGTATGAGTTTAGAGGCAAAATATCAAAAGGACAATTGACATTTTGAAATTGACATCAGCAAAAGAACTATGAAGAACTGGATAAAAAATAATCAGCTTTATATTCCTGATGGAGCAAGGCCATGGCAGGTTACCTTTTTCACACTTTCCTCCTCTTCCTGACGTTTCTCGTAGTGTGAGAAGTCGTCAAAAATGGAGGTGGTGTGCTTGTAACTTGCGATGATCTTCAACACTTGGCGCGCCTTGTCCAGCGGAACCTCCTGTGTGTCACGGGAGTTGGTCACCGGCTTATTCTCATTGTTTTCCAGACGAATGTGCCTCAGTTGACTGTTGGGAACGTCCTTCACAAAGATCCAACGCACGTCGAAACGGCCCTTCCACTTGTCCTGCGACCACACACCTGCACAAGTGTTGTAGTCCACGGGCGATCGCATCTCAGCCACGCCACAGAAGTGCCCGCTGCCATTCACGCTGAAGAGCAGGTAGAGAGGCCCTTTGTTGGCCAGCGAACGGTACGCAGCGTCCAGGCGCTTATTGCCATGTTCTGTGCTGCACCAGATATTGTACTTAATGGAGCGATGGATGTCGTCCTCAGAGTAGCTCTTGATGATGAAGACACGACCGTGCTTAGGGTTCCAGTCAAAGTCCTTGGGATTATAGTTGTTCACCATGCGCAGTTTCTCCAGAACTGGGTGGGGCTCTGCTGGCACAGCAACGCCACCCATTCCTGAATTTGGAGGGGATTGGCCAGGTCCGCCCGTTGCGTCCCCAAAGCCATTAGCACGGTTACGTGGAGGCACCCAGCGGGTTGGCTGGGAGGGTTGGGGAGGGCCCTGGGATAGTGGAGGTGGGACAGCACCTGGCTGGCCACCTGGAGGAAGAGGGTGCTGACCGAGTTGACCAGTAGGAGGCCCTAGCTGTCCATTACTGAGGGGCAGCTGTGGCACCCCGCCAGCAGTAGCACCCGGTTGAGGAGACGATTGATTGGGCGGCTGTCCATTAGTGGGCAGGGAAGTCTGTTGTGGGGCTGCTGGTTTAGGCATAGTCCCCTTGTTGTCCCAAGTCCCAATATCCATGTTATGTTTGATTGGAGGAGGTGGCAGATTTGTCCCGCCAAGTCCCCCCTTGGTTTTCAGCTTAGGCTGAGGTTTGGCAGGCTTGCTGGCAATGTCTGCCCAAGATGCAGCTTTCGCGGGAGCCATGGAGGCGGGTGGCATGGTGGGAGCTGCAGACACCTGACTCAGTGGCCCTCCAGGAAGTCCAGAACCAACAACTTTGGGTGCCATGTCCCCAGCCCCAATTTTAAGCCCCGCCATGCCCTGATCCAAGCTATTCATTCCCACAGCCTTGTTTAGCGGCTCATTCGCTGCAAAGGGAGACTGTCCGTCGATCATTGCGCCTCCTAGTGTGCTAGGAGCATAGGCATAACTGCTGCTGTAACCTGAGCTCTGTGTGGACTGTCCCTGAGAGCTGCTGTTCCCCCAGGCAGGGAAGTCAATCCCACTGGGGAAGAAGTTGAAGCCGTGCTGTCCCAGGAAAGGGTTGCTCCCCAGTGCCCCAGACTGGCCAAACATGGCATCTGGGAGAAAGTGGTGCTCCCCATTGCTAAGCTGTCCATAAGAGGCCAGATAAGGCATCGGGGGATCACCACCTGTAGACCATGCTGCTTCATTCAGAGAATAGGTGAAGCCTATTGAGGGGCTGTAGTAACTTGGCATGTAGGAGTCGGACATGGCCGTATAGGCATTGCTCTGCAAAACAAGGAAAATACATGAGCTTCATATTGATCACCATCAGATGCACAGTTTGAAAATACAAACAAGTATGATATAAAAGCTGCTTGTAGTCAGGCCAGTTGTACTGATTACTACTTGCCTCAGCAATTTTACTGACCAGTCAACATAATTTAAAATGTATTAATTAATTTACAATTCATTAGAGATGTCTAAACTTTTCAATCATTTCACACACACACACACACACACACATATATATATATATATATATATATATATATATATATATATATATATATATATATATATATATATATATATAATCGTTACACATTTAGGATCAGTTACATTTTTTTTTTAATTTCATTCAATTGAACAACTTTTCAACATTGATAAGAAATGCTTTTGAGCATCAAATCAGGATATTTCTGAAGGAACACATGAGACGTGACACTGAAGACTGAAGTAATGATGCTGAAAATTCAGCTTTGCCATCACATGAATAAATAACATTTTAACATTTAAAATAAAAAGGTTTTAATTGCCATAATATTTCACAATTTTAATGCTTTTACTGTATATTTAAGTCATAAAGGCAGACTTGGTGAGTCATAAAGGCAGACTTAGTGAGTAAGTTATTTTTTTTATTGTTATATGCCCAAACTGATTTGCATTACTATCATTTAATTCTTGCAATATCAACAAAAACTACTAATACACACTACATAAAATTTACTTAGCTGACAAAAAAGGGAAAGAATTTAGCTTGGCAATAAAAATGCAAGTGAATGATAAAAAAAGTGCCCTTGGGTCATCAGGCCATTTTTTCATCGTTGAGCTCAGCTAACCATAACATAAGACTGTACTAACAACTTTACTAAAACATCTCTCTGAAAATGTTGAGCTTCGAGAATATCATTTAGGACTGGTCAAGGACCGAGACCCCCTCCAGGCACAGAGCCTGCTCATATTTTCAACACCAGCAATCAGCTTTGTTAGAGCAACAGTGGCACAGATTCCCTACAAAAGATCCCAGCATTCCTTTGACAGAGAATACTAGACCCTTTATTCACTTGTGTCCCATTTTTCTGAGAAGACAGAAATCCATTGCCAGAAAACCCACTATTTCAGCATACATTAGTGCAAAGCTTGATAAATTGAAATTTTTTTTCATTTGTAAGAAATTCTATTATAGAATGTCTGGAACCTCTAGACAGGAACTAACATAATACTTAATTACTTCATTTCTTAATCACCGTTACATCATTTCATGGTAAACAGCTGTACTGCATTTGCACAATTTCCTATGACTCGTCAATGCACACTAAGATTTAGGCTGCAAATAAATATCTGCCTATGTAAATGATATGATGTATGACTTGACTAAGTCCACACACCTCTTTAACCAACACTCGTACAGTCTTTGACCATAGAGTAGAGTGCCATGGTGACACCCCAATAAAAAAAACAAAGCACAGAGACCAGGATGCAATTACAGGCCATAACGAACCCTCAAGAGAATAGGCAGCAAAAACAATAACCCTGCTCTTTGTCTCTATGGGTTCTTTTGTTTAGCTCTGAAACAAGACCTACCTGTCTGGGCTGAGCGTTCAGGTAAGGCTCGAACTCATCATCGTTCAAAGTATCCTTTTGGGTAACAGCTCCGTTTTGCACTGGAAAGCAGAAGATACAGAATGTTAGAGAATCCACATTTTTTTTTTTTTACAGCAGCCTAATGAAAAGGACTAGTGTAAACCAAAGCAAGGAGAGGAAGTAAATGTTATCTAGGAACTTGTGTGCTTCCCAAGGAACAAAATTCATAGTGCATTCAAGTACTCCTGGGAAGTCAATTACAAAATCAGGTGCGCTCAAATCATTTTGGTCAGAGTGAAAACGACAAAGTACCTTTTCCACAAAAAAGCAAGCCTTTCTAACATTACTTGTACAAAATCATGAATATAATGCACAATGTGTGTGTGGTTTAGCATTTTTGTTTCTATTAAATTTTTAAATGTGCTATAAACTGAAATGAATTATTATATTGTCCAATAATTTTGTACAGGCAACTTAGCTAGTTTTATTGTAAACACACAAAAAATAAACAAACATTAACAGATTTACCATCTACATCCATTGTCTCTGTTCTGACTGATGCCCCCTTCCCAAATACAGATTATGCCCACTCAAATACGACTTGGAGGTGCCGTTAATGTACACAAGTTGAATGCACAATCAGATCAATGCATCTGCTGCTGAACTCAACATGTGGATTCATCACACTAACTGTCAAACTCAACTAGAATAAAAAGTATTACATAATTTTTAACAAAAAGGACAATCTGACAATATCTCTTTCCAGTTAGAGACACAAAGCAAAGACAGAATTTTACTATACTGTCAGAAAGATCAAATGCAGGTGGTTATTGATCGCAGCCAAATTTACATTTCAACATCAGAAACCAGCCAGCTATCTGATCTTTATACTAGTTTAAGATATATTGGCCACTGGTATATATGTTCGATATAAGTTCATTTTTAATAGTATTGTTATCGTCCCAATAAGAAAAAATTGCAGATATATTAAAGCAGATAAGGTATTATTTTCTTTAGCTGAGACTCTTCTGATACACACTGCTCGCCATGTTTTTTTAATCGTTTGAAATATGTTTGTAATCACTTCACAAAGGAAAATACAGTTAAGTGCAACATGTGCTGCTCAAGTGTTATATATGGGCTCCATAAAATAAGAACATTATAATTGTGTGCTTGGGACAATGGCTTTTAATGGTGAGACTAGTTTTTGTTATCAGGTTCTCAAATTATATACAAATTTGGATTTAGATCCATCCGTCAATATATTGGTAATTAGGATCCGCCACAATGTTCATATCGGTCCATTCCTGATAACAGTGTAATTGTCTTAACGGTCATTTCCATCTTGCTGAAAATGTATAGCACTCAACTTTATGTCTAGAGCATTTAACTTAGCTTATTTAGTATATAGTACATAGTTTATTAAGATTATACTAGATGTTTAGGTACTTCCCCATCCGTTTTGTCACTGTGTCTGTTGGCAGTCTACTTTTTTCTAATAATGTATGAAAAACATCCTCAGAACTTTTTACATTGAAAATAAACTAAAATAAAGAATTAAAAGCTCTCACATCATATCCACGTGGCCATGTCCTCTAATTCAACACGTAAATGGATTGTAAAAGGTTGATGCACTTCATGTGGTGCTGAAAATTCCCTAAACAGGTTCCTCCCGGCAGCATGTTTAAACCCCAGCCACTTGGCCACTGACAGAGGTGCTGATCTAAGGGTATGTGGGACACTTACACCAACACATTTGAAGTAAACACCTAAAAACTGTGTTCAAGCAGGGTGTATGTGGGTGTTCAGGTGCTCGAGTGTGTGTCACGCGTTCAGCTGCACTCGGCCTCACTCATATTCGCTTGTGCTAGGCGGCTAACTAGCGTGGGCTATAAACACAAGCTCTTGTCAGTTCCGTGAGACTAAAATCAACCATATCCTCCACTATAAGACCTACTTCACTTCTAATCCCACGTGGGATTGTTTTAAGAAGGTTTAGCCGCTTGATTTAATAGCGGAATTGGTATGAACACACGGCCTGCTAATATAGCAGCACCAACACGCGACTCTTTTTACAGCGCAAAAACGGAATGCCAGCACTTCACCTACCTTTGTTTGCTTGGCCTTTCGGTCTCTGGATTGGGTCCAGGTGATTCATGAAGGAGTGAGTTTTGAGAGGAAAGAGGGAGAATAAATGAAGGTTTATATGAAGCTCAGGCCTGAACTCGCGCTGCGAGAGAGAAAAAAACCCGCCTCGACGCCACTTCTGCTCAATGTTCACAAAGTGCCTCTGTTTACCTGCTCCAGAAGGCTGCTGGCTGACATTTCTCTCTCCCCGGAGCCTGTGTGTTATACTGTGCGTTTGTTTGCGGGTAAAAGTTAACGGGAAATGCGTGTGTTTTAGAGTCTTTGCGCCCGTCTCTCTCGCTCGCTCTCTATCTCTCTCTCTCGCTACAGCTGCAGATCAGACACACAATGGCGGGCTGCAGTTCCTCCACACTTTAACATGGCCGAGCGACCGCCGCACATTCATCCACGGCAGGACAGCGCCGCTGCACGGCAGGGAGGAGGAGGAGGTTGTGTATGTCCGTGATGGGGAAATCTTATTTGGATATTTACAAACTTTAATAAATATGTGCTTTATGTTGTCGTGCCCGTTACTCACAAAGTTAAATGTAACGTTATTATTTCTGTTATAGAGTATGCGATTTGTTGAAAGTTTATTTATAAAGTCAAGAGGCCTATTTGAATAGGCTATTAGAACATAAAGAAATGGCCGAGCCGGTTTCACAGACATGCCTTAGACTAAACCCGGATTAGGTTCAATTAAGACATTGTAGTAACGTTAGCCTTTATAAAAGTGTCTTATAAAACATTACTGATGTGCATCTTGAGACAAAACAATGAATGGCACAGATAGTGTCATATCTGTCAATACAAGTTAGTTCAGTTAAAACAGCTCAAACGTGCATTTTAGTCTGGGGCTAGTTTAAGACGTGTCTGTGAAACCAAGGGAGAATATTTGAAAATTTAATCTAGAAATTTAGACAATGTAGAAAAACCGTAAACCAAATAACGTTAGTAGCCTAAATAGGCCATAGGAAATATTTATTTTCAACGAATTAACAGTAATTTTTTTTAACAATTAAGTTATTACAAAGTATAAGAACACATTTCAGCCGTCTAGCCGTCTATAAGTTTACATTGTTATTGTACGCTTTGTATGATGAACTGTGAAAAACGCGAGCACTAAGAAAGCCACAATAATAATATCTGCACTGACACCTGTAGGCCAGTAGATGTCCTCATTATTATGCAGCACATTCATTTGAACAAACGTTGTCTACTTTAATAAGCCTGCATGCTACTGCTTTATGTTTTCTTTTCAAGAGTGATGTACACTGTTAACCGAAAAATAGGCTGCATTGTTTTTTTTTGTTTTTTTACTTTTAACATGGGAGATAGGCCTATGCACTTGTCTTTGATGGTGTCAACTTTCAAAGAAGTTTGATCACGAGAAGGGTGGCAAGCAGCAGTTGTGTGATCTACCAAGTAATGCATTGCATTTAAATAACACACATGCCATTGTTCACACACAAAGCCAGAAATTTAACAATAGCTGCCTTACCTTTCTAGTTTTTTTTTTTTTTTTAATTAAATCATATACAGACAAAAACTGATTATATATTCTAACGCATATATAATGGCACAGAATCCCATCAGGAATATCACTTGGTCCATCTCAAAGCTCGAACACAAGCACACACAACTTTTTTCTCAACTGTAACTGAATAACCAAGAAAAGAGGAAAAAGGGGAAGTTGTTATTGCATGTGTCACATTTGAAGTTCCCACAATGCATATACCGGTAATAATTTTTAGTCAATGTCATGATTTGCATAATGTTACTGTCATTTGTAAATAGTTGAGATGTTCACATCGTTTGGGTTTAACACTCGTAATAAAGAAAAACCCCATTTTCCCACATACTTAATTTCAGAGATAAGCTTACAAATTCTGCAAATTTTCCATGACATAAAATGTCTAACATTCACATGGCTGTGATGTCAGCTATGCCTATCTATCATTGATGCATATGACAGTTCGATGACAAGTGAATTTTATATTTAAAATGGATAGCACTGATCTGAGTAGAGTGTCCAACACTGACATTGCACAGGGGTGACGTTAGTATATGTTACATGACCCTGTGAGAAATAAGAGATGGAAAATTATTGGATAAAGTATTTGGTTTGAGTTGCAGAGTTGGCAGGGCAATGAACTTGTTATCACAGAGACAGGCTTTATTTTACAGAAAATAGATTCAAGAATTCTTACATAATTTTACATAGATTTGGAAGTCTGGTTGAAAGTGTTTTTTTTTCTTCTTCTTTCTCCTAGACCAGGGATGGGAAACGTCTGTCCTACAGAGATTAGCTGCAACCATGAAAAAAAATCACCTGCCAATAACTTTCTAGTAATCCCGAAGACCTCGATTAGCTTGTTCAGGTGTGTTTAAATAGGTTTGAAGCTAAACTCTGTAGGACAGTGGCCCTCCAGGACCAAAGTTGCCCATACCTGTCCTAGACCCTCTCTGATTGGTAACCAAGGGCAGAATTACAAGTTTATTGGCCAATAAAAATAGCAGTGAACTCTATGATGTCATCTCTGAATAAATCAATCTTAATCTGAAATGTGAAATGCACATGAAATGCAGAGTAATATGGAATTCCCTAATTAGACTAAATAACAAAATACTTTATGCTGAATTTTACATTGCCCTTTAACTTTGAGTTCCAGAGATCATTTTATAGTGTGCAATAAGAACTCATCTGCATTCCTGGCATTCTGAGGCACCAACATCTGACTGCAGCGATGTAAATTATCGCTGTTGGAGCATGTGACACAACAGCTTTGTAACTTCATCTTCACTTCAATCAGTTCATCTCTCTCTCTCTCTCTCTCTCTCTCTCTCTCTCTCTCTCTCTCTCTCTCTCTCTCTCTCTCTCTCTCTCTCTCTCTCTCTCTCTCTCTCTCTTTCTTTCTTTCTCTGTGGGCAGTAGTGCCCTCCTGTGCTTGTGGGACAGGAATGTTCAACAGCAGGGTGACAATCTCCTGCTAGCCCTTCACGCACACACACGCACACACACACACACACACACACACACACACACACACACACACACACACACACACACACACACACACACACACACACACACACACACACACACACACACACACACACACACACACACACACACACACACACACACACACAATGACATCAGCTGCTTGTCTACATCGCTGGGACACTCCAGGCTGCCAAAGGGGGAATGTAGCACCCGTCAGTTACTTCAGCCATGCTGCTTGTTCACGTACTATCCATTCTGAGTGGGTTAGCTTTTAATAAACAGGCCCAAGGAGAAAGTGTTTGATGGAGATAAAGGCCACTGAGAGAAGAGGACAGGCACAATTAATCATTCATGTTAACAGTTTTAACATGTTAACAGTAAGTTTCTAGCTTTATTTTAGCTTTGGGTTAATATAATATAATATAATATAGGCCTAACTTATATAATATAACATGAATAAATAATCTAAAAAACAAGATTTAACATTTTAAATTAAAAGGCAATAAAACATTAAGCTGTGTTAAAGATGATAATTTACTTTTAAAAAAATCCTATGGGTTAAAGGCCAATAAATGGTTTGTTGTGAGCTTTGTTGAAGGCGAGAATTTATCTATAAGTAAATTAAGCATAATGATCAAACTAGATCATACTAAAAGTCATACTAAACCCCATGATCATAATTACAATAGTTTAAATTATGATAAGATGCACCAAGCATCAAACATAAAAAACATAACTGGACATGTGGTGATCTTGTTCAGTCTGAAACCAGATTTTAATCTTGAGATAATCCTACATGACAATCAAGCATCTACAGTCCCTCCTCTTATCCGATGCAAAAACTTGAAGCTAAAGTTAAACAAACATTAGAGCTCTGATTATAGTGCAGAATCAGACTGCTTGTGGCTTTTGTTGTGGTAACAGACAACACACACTTATCAGGCCCTAAATGCAGGCTGTTGTTTCAGGGCCCTCACAAGATCTGGCTCCCTATATAAATGGTTGAGTTTCCAAGTGGTATGGGGAGGGTTTTGTATTTATTTTTAGGAATTAAATTTAATTCAGGCAGCGGCTGAGTGTGTAAAGCTGGGCAAGGTTTAGTCTTCCCCTGGCCACGAACTTGAGACTGGTGTGGAATTTTCTTGTTCAAACCACTGGATGCTGCTGCTTCTGATCGCATTTAGAGGGAAAAGCTGCCTCTATATTATTTGCTGGGCTTGGATATTATCTGTTTTTTGCTGTCGTAAAAGCATTGGCAAAACAGATTTGGCAAACGATCTAGTGTATTTCTGTGTTTGGAGAGCATCAGCGGTTTCTATTTACGCTGTGTTTTTGCAGTATTGAGCAATGTAGCCAATCACAAGCATCTGTTGACCTCTTGAACACAATGGCCAATCAGAGGTGTTTAGGTTAGAATCCACTCACCACTCAAAACGGTTGAGGTTTTGTCTATTGTTGAGTTCTGTGCGTCCTCTCTGCAAATCCTCTCATTATAACAAATTGCAGAATTACTTAAATAAGAGATTCATTGTGTAGTCAGCTTTATTGGGTAAAACTTTAGAATACTGTCCCATCGTTAATGAACTACACAGGAAAAGGTGAGTAACGCATTATTAACATTCCAGTAACGACTATTAACTAACAATTAGTAATAGTGCTTTGTCGAATCCGAATACCTCAGAGTGGCTAAACTTCTCTGGCTCGTTGAGCATTAATCTTCACCGGGTTTAATTCTACTGTCACTTATCCTGGCATGAAGAACCAGAAAGCTGATGTACTTTCTCATATTCATGCACCTGATCAATTCAACAGCCTACAGCCCATCCTCTCTTTAGCCGCCATTGTCTGTCCTATCCAATGGGACCTGGAAGCCAACTTCGTCGAAGCCACCCGCACTGTACCTGCTTTGGCGTGAGGTCCTGAGGGACAGATTTATGTTCCATTTACTCTCAGGCATGTTTCAGGAAGGCACCATGCCATCTCCCTGAAGGGAAACTCCAATTGCTGCCCATTCCTCACCAACCCTGGTCACACCCAGGAGTGGACTTCATCACAAACCTACCTGCCTCTGACTACTTTACCTGTATCTTTATGGTCGTGGACCAATTCTCGAAAGCCTTATCCCCTTGTAGGATTACCATTGGCTAGTGACTTCTGAGGCTCTGTTTAGTTATGGGTTTCACAATTACAACTTACCTGAGGACATTGTCTCAGACCAAGGACCTCAGTTCAACTCCAGAGTATGGAGACCATTCTTCTTTCTCCTAGGTGAGTCAATGAGTTTAACAGCCACGATTGAATGGGCAGACGAGAGGAAGATCAAGGAGATAGGATGCTTCCTGAGAACGCTGAGATTGCCATAGCCACCAAAACATCTGGAGCCGGTATCTTCCCTGAGCAGAGTACGCCCAAAACTCTGTGCACCAATCCTTTCAGTGCATACTCGGCTTTCTGCCGCCCCCGTTTCCCTGAAACTCCACCTCCTCATTCAAACTCACCCGAGTGATTTCCCGCACATGTCACTAATCATCTGGTTCTTGCATAAACAGTATAGCCATACTCATCCACATATAGTTGTCTTACCAGACTTCCTGTCTGATCATCTGCCTGTCATCATCATCCTCATCTTCAGACTGCATCCATTTTAACAAGTCCCGGGTCATCCTGCAAAAAGACAAAGAACTGTTTACAAGTCATTCAAGTGCCTTTCACCACGTTGTGATATTTACCTGGGCTGTTTCTTTGAATCTCTTCAATAAGTACCTGAGAACATTGTTCCTGTTGCCTGTTCTTCAGTACACTGACAATTATAGGTAACTAAAACTAACAAAATTTAAAACCCTTTTCTGTTTTATCTGTTCGAGGTTTACTATAAGTGGGTTTTTGCTGTTTTTTTCCTCTTTGTTCCTTTTCCCCACTTGTAGTTTGTCTCCAAGGTTACCCATTGTTTGATTATCATTTGCACCTGATGTTCATTTAGTTGATGGTTTGTTCTGTGTAAGCTCTTCCTTCTGTTTGTTATCAGTTCACGTCGTTTACATTGGTTGTTCTGTTCATGTTCTTGAGTATATGTAAATAAACCTTTTAGCTGCTTGCAAATAGATCCTGCAATCAACTTTATTTCAAACATACAAACATTTGCATACATAAATATCAAAACATATATAAATATTTGGTTTAAAAATGTTTTATGTTCTTTATTATAGCATGTCGCAATGCTCACAATAGTCGAGGTGGTGATGGGCAGTGGATAAGACACATGCCTTTGGTGTGAGAGACCAGGGTTCGAATCGACTGTAAGACACCCATGAGTCCCTGAGCAAGACACTTAACCCCTAGTTGCTCCAGAGGCGTGCGACCTCTGACATATATAACAATTGTAAGTAACTTTCGATAAAAGCATCAGCTGAATAAATGTAAATGTAAACAATGCACGTATTTCATGGCAACTAAAACAAGCTGTAAGAGAATCTGATAGTATTGCAGAACATGAAAATCTATGAGTGATTATTATTGCTCATAAATATACAATCCTGTAATATGTTTTACATGGTATTTTAATCCCTGTGATCACCTGACTGAGTTGTCAGTTTAGTTTTATGACTGAGAGAATTTGTCTAGCGTCAAGGGTCTAAGCCAAACAATGATGCAATCAGTGTTTATTTTCTCTTTGTTCACAAATACACACACACAAAGGCATAGTCTTTGGAAGATGGTCCTAGATAGTGAATGAAACAGGAATAAAGAGAAATGGTAGGAGAGAGAGAGAGAGAGAGAGAGAGAGAGGGGGGGGGGAGGTTTGGGGTGACGAGGGGGGCGTCTGTCCTTCTTCTCTGTTCCCTAGTTTGGTCACTCAGAGCTGAACATCAGGGGTCATTCGCTGTTGCTCAACAGACTGTGCTAGACATCACACGCATACGCATATAGTCATACAACCTGTTTTCTTAGTAATGACAAATGACTTACTGTTCCAAAAAGGAAGGAGAGAGTGATATGTGTTGCTGGGAAGACTTTGAGAGGGACAGAGGGAGAGAGAGAGAGAGAGAGAGAGAGAGAGAGAGAGCAATCGGTCATGGCCATTAATATATATGGTTCCTCCCTCATGTGGTCATAGTGCAGAGTCTGTTTTAAACCCTGTGCTGCGTGTCATCAGGAGCAGCTGTCCGTCACGCTGAAGCTCTCAACCCCTTTCCCTGTGGCATTGCATCATTCCCTCTGTATCCCAAAAAAACACACCAATGCGAGTAAAGTGTGCTTCAGCCCAGACAGACATTAGATGGGCAACAGCATGTCCATGACTCCAGAAAGCATTCAGATAACATGTCTTTTAAATGCATGTAAAATGAGAGGTTAATAGTCTCAGACCTCTTGACCTCCAGCAGGGAATAGTTAAGCATGTACTCATGACAGCAGTGTGGCGCTTGATCCAACTTTGTCTTAAGTGTCCGTGTCTCTCGTTCCCGTAATTGTATGAATATATATTAACGGTGTCGTTTGAACAGGCCATTACAATGCATTTGCATGAAATTCTGCAAGTGATTTCTTTAGTTTTAATACTGATCAGACAATATGTGACAGTATAGATGGAACCTGCTTAAACAATGAATAATATCTTGTTATATAATGTACACTCTTAGAAGAAAAGGTTCTATATAGAACCTTAAAAGGTTCTATCAGCGCTACGTATTTGGAACCCAAAAGGTTCTATACACTCTTTAAAAAATGGTTCCTCTGGGTTCTATATAGAACCCTGGGGTTCCATACTTGGCCAATAGAACCTTTTACCAAAAAAAATGGTTCTTTATAGAACCATTTCTGGTTCTAAATAGAACCATTTCTTCTAAGAGTGTATGTTTACCTTTAATATAATACTACTACTACTACACTCTAAAAAATGCTGGGTTGTTTTAACCCAATTTTGGGTCAAATATGGACAAACCCAAATGTTGAATTAAAAAATGCAATTAAGAAATTTAACCCAACAGCTGGGTTTGTCCATATTTGACCCAAAATTGGGTTAAAACAACCCAGCATTTTTTAGATATAATAATGAATTATAATGAAAAGCACACTTTAGATTAGGATCCAATTATCAAGTTAACCAATTATCAATTAACTAACCAATGACTTTTGCTTTAATAAACCCGCAATTACTGATAATTAATAGTTATTAAGTTGTTTAGGTGTTGGGATGCAGAATAAGGTCGCATGCAGAATAAGGCATTAATATGTGCTTAGAAAAATATGAATAAACAGCTAATATCCAAGTAATATGCTAATAAGCAACTAGTTAATAATGAGACTTGGACCCTTTGTTACCTAATGATATTATTATTATATATTTTATGTAATATTTACATTTTATTAGGTGATTTGCATATTTCTTTTTGTGTCAGAGTTTATTAAAAATGAAGAGAAAAAAAAAACGACAGCTGGTAGAAACGGTTGGTCTAAAAAAGATCAAATTAGACAGAGTTTATTGGTCAATTGAAGCTGACATAGTTCTGGCACACATCGCCTCTGTCGACCCTGAGCAAACACTTCAGAGACATTCCTCTCTGTTTAACACTGCTGGATGAAATTCTGCAAATATTCCACACGATTCTCTTAACGTTCTAGAATGTCTGTCAGAAACCTCCTGGCACTCAAGAGCCAATGTGCACATATTAATATCTGAGAGAATATCTAAAACAGTTTACAGAGCAGGATCTTGAGGAGGCTCTTTCTCGAATAAAATATTAACAGCTTTGGAATATTATTCTAAACTAGTGGAACATAGACATTGGGTGTGTGTTTGACTGACCTCAAGTTTGTTTAAGTGAAGGTGATAATGTGAGCTAGATTTGAGAGGATTCTCTTTGCTGAAGTGCTGGTATGGATTGGGTGTCCAGTCTATACCTCACACCAATGTGCCACCCTGAGAATCAGCCAAATACCTTCAATGTTCTTCAGCGCAGCAAGTTAAGTTTACTACAAACGTTTTGCTTAGCACTGCTCTAACAGCATACACATATTTATAATATTTTTCTCTCCAAATTATGTAAATGAAAGTAAATTTTATTTTAGAGTTTTTATTTTATTATTAATATGGATTTATTTTATATTTACAAGTTTTTATCATCATTTTTATTGTATTAAGTACAAATATTATTTTAAAATATATTTAGGGCTGTGCAATGATTAATTGCGATTAATCGCATCCAAAATAAAAGTTTGTGTTTACATAATAAATCGGTGTGTGCTGTGTATAGTTATTTTGTATATATAAATACATATGCATGCATGTATCTTTAAGAATTATTTGCACGTAAATACTGTATATATATATAATCTTTATTATATATAAATATAAATATGTTATATATGAATAACACATTTTCTTAAATATATACATGCATGTGTGTGTATTTATAATTTATATTTACAAAATAACTATACACAGCACACACACATATATTATGTAAACACAAACTTTTATTTTAGATGCGATTAATCGCAATTAATCTTTGCACAGCCCTAATATATATATATATATATATATATATATATATATATATATACTGTATATGTGTGTGTGTGTGTCTGGTTAACCTAGGCTACACAATGTAAATTAAGTAAACTACATTTAAACTGATGTCCATGTAACACACACACATACATATTAATTTATAAATAACTTTATCTTTTAGAAGAAAAATATTGCAATAGCATATCACAGTTTGAGACAAACAAAATGTTTTTAACTCTTATTTCTCTGCTATCATTTTAACCCTGTATAGGCCTATAGGCCTACTTGTTAAATTTGTGTTAGCCTATAGAAAAATGCTTTGTATTTATTTTGCATATATTCAAAAAAATCTATCACGTAATTGGTTTGACCATTAATCATGGCAGGAATGTTGCCTGTCCAGTAGCCCAAAACTCACGGACGTTCTCTGCATTGTGTGGATCACGCAGTGAAAATTTAGAGGGTTGTCGGGGGTCTTGCATGGTGGGAGGGGTCGTCATGTGAAGCTCTGTCTTGGACACATTCTGTGGTATAAACCAAACCACAGTCCAGCGAGCGCAGCTGTCAGGTGTGCGTCACCTTGACCACTGATCAGTCTCCGCGCGCTCTGCTTACCGACACCGAGATGTTGTACTGTCCTACCTGACTTTCCTTAGCTGTTTCTCTGCTTCTGCACGTGAAACAGAGCGCGACTGTCCCTTTGCCTGCGAGCCAAGAGGAGCGAGCGGGTTATCATGAGTTGTCTGGATGTTATGTACCCGGCTTTTGGTCATTACCCACCGTACGCGCACAAAGCTTCAGCATTCATCAGCACATTACCGGTAAGCATAGCCTATGTGAAATGCACTAATTACTTTTTAATTAAACATGCAAGTTTTTGCGTATTTTATCCTCACCTTTTATTGTTTATATATGACGAATATGTTTGCTGTGTGTGTGTGTGTGTGTGTGTGAGGGCGACTAGACCGGGGCACGTTGTCACACTCCAGTGTCCATCTCTCAGTCAGTATAGGCGCAAACCTTCAAGTCTTGGCTATTAAAAACAGTTGAACATTTCCGTTAATGCACAGAAATGCAGCTCACAAAGATTCAGCTCACTGAAGACATTGACCTATTGCTCTGGGCAGGTTGTATGAGTATATATTAATTTTAATTTTGAGGAAAGAATTCAGAAAAATAATCCTTATTTAAGAGAGTTTCATTCTAATTTAATAGAGACTATAGAGAAAACAAGTATTGGTGTAACTGGATTTTTGACACAAATCTGTAAAGTTATTCAAAATGTAACTTTTCTGTGTGACAACTAGCCTGGTCTTACCAATATCTTTTATATCTGCAATTGCATACACTCTTATAGATTTATAATCATATGGTTCAGACACACAAACATAAACATTGACACAGTCAGACATACAACAAAATGTGTCACTGGTTCACAACTACTTAATTTTCATAGGCACCCCTTGGTCTGAGAAGCCCCTCGTCTCGCTGCAGGGATCTGATGGACAGCGTGGGGGTCCCGGTTTCTGCCAGAAGCTCCAGCTCGGGGGGTCCGTCTCCATCCCCATACTCTTCTTCCGGACAGGTAGAGGAGACTACGAAGGACAAGGAGGTCGGGGAGGCAGAATATCTGAGCTCACGATGCATTCTCTTCACCTACTACCAAGGGGACATTAGCAGCGTGGTGGACGAACACTTCTCCAGAGCTCTCAGCACCTACATGGAGGCCGAGGGCAAAAAGAGGCACAGCGATCCCAGCACAGGTGAGAGTGTGGGGAAAGTGTCCATCAGTTTGATCTGAGATCTGATACAGATGGAAGAAAAAGGCACAAAAAAGGGAATTCAATAATTGTGCACAAATTATCTCAGCTAAGCAATCTCATCTTACATGCATTCAAATGAACTGCACAGGATTTGAACATCAATTTGAACTTAATGGAACTGAATGAAGCTGCTTGTTAGAACAAAGTTCGAGAGAAATGAAAGAATGATGGATTCTTAAAGGGATAGCTCACCCAAAAGTGAAAATTCGATTATTTATTTACTCTTCATTCCAAACCTGAGCGGGTTTCTTTCTTCTGCACTGTTAAAGTGCATTGAAAAATCTTTTAAAATCCACTATTACAAAGGTTCCTTATAGTGGAAAAATGTTTTTTCTATTGCATCACTACGAAAACCCGCTTTTGGAACCATTATTTTATAGAACTTGCATTTTTTCCTGATGTGCAGTTATAATGTTAGTATGATTTGTACACAAAAAATGGTCAGAATTTAAAAATATAAGGCCATTTTCTACCCTGATTTTAGTCCTATGATTTGAACTCTTGGTTTTAAGGGGCATGGTTGCTGTGAGACTTCAATGTAAACGCCCACCGCTATGATTGGCTAACATATTTGCATATAAATAAGTATTACCTGTGGAACTCTCTCAAAAACTTTTACTACAGTGGCTACCTTTTTACTATTACAGCTGTCGAGATGAACTAATCTTGAAAAGTGTTGATTATAACATTAGATTTAGATCTACTCACGTTGCATGAAAGGTTGCAGCAATAAGCATTGTAGTCGATGACAGACAAGTCTGTAGATTGACAACTTCACCAATTATAAAGGAAGAGTTCATTCTTCGCTTTCTGTATGTAATTCAATCACACTATTGAGAAAAACGAAGTCAAATTGACCGTTTAGCCACTTGCTAAATTTACTTACGCAATAAACAAATTTTGTTTCAATTTGAGACAAACAACATCTGACTTACATGAATCATGACATTTCATAAATCTATAATCACAGATTAGGCATTAAAAGTAATACGGTTATTTACAGTAATGTTGTGGCATTTCTGTCAGGTCCGTCTTACACATTAGATTGGGTTATCAGAACCAAGTCCTAAGCCTATTCATTTATACCCACAATGTAAGATCAAATTTAGCATTTTAATCAACAGTACATTTTTTGTTAACGTTTTGTCATGGAGTATCGCAATAATATCGTATCAGGAGTTCATCGTGATACGTATCAAATCGTGACATCCCTAACTCTTACATGTCAAAAGATCAAATTTAATTTCTCCATTCATGACCTTTTTAAAGTCAATGAGTTTCAAACTTCGAAACGGTCAGAATGTAAGACAATAACAGCTGAAACAGCTGTGTTCTGCATAAGAAAGAAAATCATATGAGGTCACGATATCATGAGAATATTAAATAAATGTGCCGCCTTTTGTGCTGCCAAGTGAGATTGCGTGCAGAGCCTGTTGAATACCAGATCACACAAGTGTCTTCAATGTGCTTAATGTGTGTGTTTACCTTTATGAACCTTTGGTATATTCCCTCCCTCCCTGTGACATCTTCATCTAGCCTCTCAGACACTGCCTGCCTCCCAACAGATACTATGTTTATACGTGGCGGTAAGCGCAGTGGCTCGAGCTCATATCGCGTTCAAACAGCTCACAATACCAAGTGTCAGATTTATGAGGAGCTCGTCCACCCCTCCTCTGATCACGACTACATCACCGGTGTCTTTTTTCAGAAGAATTCTAAATATAAAAGTAACAGCTAAAAACATACTTCACCCCTCCCTCCACATTCTACAAGGGGTTACAGGGGCGAGAGGGTTAGTAAAAACAACAGGTGAGGGCACGAGCAGAGACAGGGTTCTGCAGGTCTGTGGAGGTGTTGTGGAACTGACATGACAGTAGAAGAAAACCACATGCGGTTGTCCAGGTTTAAACTTCTGCCTTATATAGACCTTTAGGACAGACAGAGACTGTCATAGGGGCCATTCCCACAGAATACAGGTCAGTGGAACTGAAAAAAGACAAGCTCTTGAGCTCCGTTTTTAAAAAGGGTTCACAAGTGGCAGCAATGGGTGCAAAAATAATCTGTTTGGCATGGTTAGGGATAACAACTGTTGGTTTTCTGTTTCAGAGAACTTCTTTTCACTTTTAACATGTAATGTGCGAAACACTGCAAAGGATGTGAGTCAATCATGTCTGTTTTTCTTCAGTAAAACATATTTTCTTGTCTTGACCTTTTCTTTTGTATATCTTTAATGGGTTTTCTTACTCCTTTCTAGCTCTCTCTCTCTCTCTCTCTCTCTCTCCATCTCTCATCTCTCTCATGTGGCTGTGTGTATTTCTGTGATGTGTGCTAAGCTCTTTAGGAGCAAATGGAACACCATATGATTCCATCAGAAAGACATCCGAGGGCGTGGGGCTGGAAATCATGTGAAATCATGTGACAAGCCTGACCTGAGAGTCTAAGGTGCAACAGCCTTATATGTGGACAAATGAGACTCATAGAAATGTAATCTCAGCTTATATGATAATATGATAAGTAATTGACACCTGCGTGCAAATTATGGGGGGGTCTGACCGCTCTTATTAAAGCTTAAACACTCCAAAGGCAGTTTCAATGGTGTTCACACACAACATTTCAGTAATCACCGATGTGAGATTACAGGTTAGTCAGAGCCCCCTAAAGAGATGCTAGTGAACCGAGGGCATATTTGCCTGATGAGGTCACCATAACAACAGTAGAAATTAACTTTCCATTAAATTTCATTAAACGTTCTTAAACAGATTCCCAAGGGCATTATTGCACGTCTTACCTACCTGCCAACACGTATTTCCACACCTCCGTGCACCCTGTTTGTGCAGACATCACATGTCATCAGTGCGTTCAAATCAGGCTATTGTGACGTAAACCAAACAGGGAATGGGAAAACCAGACGAAGCCCGCAAATCCCAGGGATACAGTACATCCAACAACGATCTGACAAACACAAGGCCAAGAGCATGAATAGAGATCACTGATAAGAATTAGATGGTGCTGATGACAATCAGCAGCTGATCAGCGACCACGCCCACACTCACACACATACACAAACACAGCGCGAGAAAGAGTGAATTCATGAACCGTGTTAACACTATCAACGGCAAAATGAATCTGCAGCAGATAGCATTTTTGCCCCAAGCCACCATTAGTGTCTGACCCTGAACAGTAGTTGTACTGTCATTTTTAATAATCATTTTTTACATTTACATACCACAAAAATGTTTTGTTTATTAGTGCCACATTTTGTTGTGTGGGGCATACCTTAATAGCTCACCTAATTTTATGGACAGCAAATCCTTAAGAAGTTGATGCTCCCCAAATATTTGTATAAAAATGTACAGTTTCTGTCCGGTCTCTGTTTCTCTTTGTCATTCTTTCTTTCTCTCCCCATCAGAAGCTTCATCCTCAAGCAGTCGACGCAGTTTCCCTCCATCTTTCTGGGACAGTAACTACCCCCCTCCGCCCAGCCGTCCCCATTGTGATCCCACCTACGCTATGGACCCGTACGCCCAGGCCTTGCACCCCGGTCTGCCTCACTCACACGCTCACCCACACCCATCAGAGTCCTGGAGCTACTCTCAAAGCCAGTCCTATCCCCCACCACGGCCCCTCCATGAACTGTACTCTAATCCCGGGCTGGATGCCCACTATGGACCTCTGCTGATGCCTGCCGTCCGGCCGCCTCATCTCTCCACGCTGCCTGGGCATTATGAAGTGGGAAAGCTGGAACCCACTGCAACATGGCCAGGGCTGCTTCCGCCTGGGGAAGTGGCACAGAGTCTGGCTCTCAACATGGAATCAGGTAAAGTGTTCCAATGTAGGCAAAACAGCTACAAAATAAAAGATAAAAAGAGAAGAATTGAATGCGTCCCTAAAGAGCGTACTTCTTGAAATTATGATTATGTTGATTTATAAAATTGCATTACTTTAAAAAGGGAAAAAATATACTAACAAGGTTGATGCCAATCCTGGAGACACAACATCAGAAATGTCAATATTAACAAATAGAATTCCTATATGAAAAGAAAATATATTTCCCTATATGATATGAATGATTAATATATTAGATGGTTAACAGTATATTTGTAAATATATTGAATAATAAGGAATTCCCACTTTTCATATATTGAAAAATATGTGACAATATATTTACTAATATATCGTAATGTATGCAATTGTATGTTCAGTAATAAACTTCATAATAAATATATTGATGTATATGTGCTCATATATGGTAATGCATGTGTAATATATTGCAGGTACTGTTACTCATGCAGCATAAACACACATATATATAAAATATTTTCAAGCTAGTACACAAAAGCACACGCACACCTGCATGTACTAAAGTATTTAATTCAAGAAGAGACAATTACTGTGCTGAAGATTGCACTGTCATTACTTTAAAATATAGTAATTTTCGGCTCAATAGTCTTTGACCAATTGTCAACCGAACCACAGGCTCTACTCTTCAGCACGATGGTAACCCCAAAAACTCAGACATACCAGAAAACCTCTTAGATTTCTTTAAAATTATTATTGAGTAAGACATTAAATAACACTTAATTTTAACATTTACTCTCCTTTAATGGTCAGAGGCAAAGCATGCGGGGAACTAGAAATCTGTTGCAACACATTCCGTGAATGTGTGTGTGTGTGTGTGTACCGTAAGAGTAAGTCAGCATCAGCAATTCATTATCAAATTTACTTAGATAAATGTAAAAGGGACACATCTGTTTTGTAGAACGGTCTGTACCTAAATGCCAAAAGACGTGCCTATTTTAAAACGTAAATATAATGCATAAAAAAACCTATAGCTTTAGCATTTTAGCTTTTTTTTTAAACTGAGCATTGTGAAAACGTGATCAATAATTTGCAGGTAAACTTTTCATTTAATTTCACAGAGCCTCATTTTCCAAACTAACTGAGAGTTTACCAGCAATTACCCCTTAAGTTTTCAGAATGTTCCGTTAAGAAAGGTGTATGAATTATGTTAAAAGCAAACAAAACACATGCCCTACAGGTTAATGGCAGGAAATGGATTGTTTGGCCTCAGTTGTTGGTGCTTATTATATAAAGAGTTTGCAGCCACCATGGAGATTGTGTGTGTGTGTGTGGGTCCTCCTTGTTTTCAGCCTTTGTGTTCATGTCTGCTTTGCACCGCAGGTCTCCAGCACCACAAGAAAGGGAAGGAGCTGTACTGGTTTTAATGAGAAGCCCTTCATCGACCACCCAATTAAAGCCTGCAGTTTGGCCCATTGTAGCCGAACTGTTGTTTCTTTAGCCCCCGCGCACACCGGCTCTCCACCAGCTCTGCACACGCTCTGAACACGCTCCAGGACTATTTGTGTGCACCATGGAGATATGAACATAGGTTGATGAGAGAACGCCTGGGGGAGGCAGGGGCACTAGACGACATGGTCTTTCTGTTTTTGATCCGTTTTCCTCTTTTTGATCTTTTTTAAATTAATTTATTGTGGTGAAAAAATCCAGCTTGCCCTCTTCAGTTCTCAGTTTGGACGTTGAGACGCAAGAAACATCGCATGGTGCAGTATATATGGAATGATACATTTCATAAAAATCTGGCTGTTTATATTGATTGAATAAGGATGGCAGTAATATGTTTGTATTGTATCTTTGCATTATTTTTTTTCTTCTCATGTACAGTATTTTTATTTATATATACAATGGTATTTATGTGTTTCAATTAAAATAAACTCACGGCCAGTGCTGTTTTTTTTCTCGCTTTTTGTTTTTTCTTAACATGGTGTGAAACAGTTCAAATAAAAAGATCTCAAAGAATTAATAAACCAAAAGAGTGAAATAAAATTATTTCCCAAGTTACAGTAATAGAACTGAAAAGGTTACATTGATGTTGTTATAAGGGGAAAGTCATTTGAGGTGTATTTTTTATGTTTCGGTCTACTTGAATTCAAAATGAAAAGACTAAAAATGCAAGAAGGTGTTTGTATTTCCTTATTAAACATGCATTTAAATATGTTGCCTTGTTCTTGTCATGACCTATTACTAATTTCAAAAAGATATGGTTATATGTTATATGTCTCAGATTTGAGTTGAACATTAAAAAGCTGATTTGTCTTCATGGCATCCAAAGTATAAACCAAAGAAACCCTTATCCAGCTAACATGTTAGTCATAGGAACATTGAACGTGTATGTTGGGTAATGATGAGCTCCTGAAGCCTAGATTTAATACTGTGTTTATGTTCCTCTGGAAGGAAAGATGTTCCAGGCTTATCACTGATGTTGTAGGGCACAAACTCACTCTTGTCCAATGATGAAATTATAAACGGGTGCATGAATAGTTGGTTCCTCTAAGACTCCCCTGCCAAAAACATGACAGCCAGCTGGTACAAAATCTCTGTCTGTCAGGGACTATTTATATTCATGTTTTAAGCTAAAACAGAAGCTAAAACACGTTTCCATGTTTTATGAGGACTTTCCATAGACATGATTTTTATACTGTACAAACTGTATATTCTATCCCATAATCCTAGCCCACACACATCGACGCACACACGCACACAAAAAAAACAAAAACAAAAACAAAACATGACTGCCGGTCATGTAGGCTATTGCAGTTGTTTTTTTTTTAAAAAATGGTGTGAATAGAAAAAAAATCTGAGTTATATTGTTTTTATATGACAATCATGTGTTAGATGGTAAAATATTTGTGTCGGCAGATAATGTCTGTCCAGGACACAGATACAGTCAGTCACTTGACAGAAGTCGTAAAGATTGTATACTTCAAACATGTGATCAGAAATAATGCATGCAAGTGGTTTTTTGTCATGTTGGCTTCTCTCATGACTTCTAATGTAGGTTACCTGGTTTAGATCAGTCATTTGCATTTTGTTTTGCTTCAGAGCCCAGATTTTACGTTGAAGATCAAGTGGCACTCCCGTACAGAACCAAAATTGCACAAAAGTATGTATATACATATTAACTGCACTCAACAATATGCAAAATTATTAACTGTGCAATTTTAGAATTTTACGACGTCAATAATTTTTAATGTTTTTGAAAGTCTCTTATGCTTACCAAGGCTGCATTTATTTCTAAAATACAGTAAAACCCCTATTGTGAAATATTATTAATGTAATATAACTGTTTTCTATTAAAATATATATAGTTTCCTGTGATGAGTTTTGTGACCCACCAGACCTATGTACAATACAACATTATATAATGAAGCATTCGAATTTATAATAGACAATAACGAGAAAGAATGCCCGTGTATGCACAAACAAGAATACATACAATGTATACTAAGCACTAACACACGAACACACACAAATGCCTACGTATATACATTTCAAACCGCCACAAATCACACGCACCAATCAAGCTGATGTCTGTACTTTGTCTATTCCGTTCAAAACAGTTCATTGTCCATTTAATGGGAACTGCAACACGTTCCCCTAAAAACCACATCTGCATGTTCTTCAAATGCAGGGAACTTTGCTGTCATGTCACTTGATCTTTAACCTCTGTCATCATGACAATGCAAAAAACAGCTGAGAGAGACTGATGAATGAAGGTGAAGAATCTTTGGCAAGGCCTTGACTCCACAGAATTCATGATCATCTGAGAGGGTGCCAAAAATATTATGCCGCTACTTGAAAGAGACAAAAGGTAATAGAGAAGCAGGGAGGATATGTTAATGGGGCAAAACCTTGACTGAGGTAAACAGGATGTCTGATGTGCGGTAAAACTTTCAAGGAAATGGAGACAAGCTATGTGTTTCAAAATCTTCCAACTCAAACGACATTTCACATTAACAGGAAATCAAATGCCATATTAATCACAATGTTTACAGGCAGAGAAGAGAGAATGAGTTAAAAAAACTGTTATCACCACAGTACTCTGTGTAGTAAAATCATTGTGAAAAAAATGCACACGTGAATGTTTTGACAGGGAAGCTTCTGATCTTTGCCTGGGGCTTCTTAAAATGAATTTTGACGAACTTTCGCTTTGTGTTCTTGAATAAACAAAATTATATTGTATTGACTGCAGTTTTGACAACTATTCGACATTTCCTTATTCATGTTTTTGTTTCAGCTCCACTGTGCTTTTTTCATAACGTATATATATTTTTATTAAAGCAACAAAAAAAAAATACTAAATGAGCACTACAATCCCAGTTCCAACCATAGACTGTAAAAAAAGATGGACAACGCCCCTTCGCACGCTTCCATTGGTGAGAACCATAGGCAGTAAAAGAAATGAACACAGCGACCCCATAGATTTCAACTGAGAAAAATGAAGCCAATTAGAAGCACTCACTTCCTGATGGCTGAGCGTAACATTAGATGTGACGTGAGCAACCTGTCTTCTAGTAGCTGTGACAAGAGGAATCTGAATCATTCCCTTCCGAATCTCACAGAGACGGAGATTGTGAGTATTAGCTGTCAGTGAGCTCGCAGCAGGATCAACTTTATGACTCTCTGTGGGCTTCTCCCTTGACTTTATGCCTCCATGTCCCCCCAATTGCCCACAAGCTTCTACTCCTGTCTATACGGTAATTTGTGACAGAGAGTCCCGTGGTTATGATGAAATCATTAGCCTATTTTTACAAAAACTGCTTCTACGGGGGCCATAAAGTAAGATACAAAGTAATGAAGCCTTTTATACATTGATATTTTATACAATTTAAACAATAAATTCCATTTTGTGGCTCTAATGTGTCTGATCTGATCGCTGTAGTCTCTACAGAGCTTCAGTTAAAGCTGCTCATGAACCGATCATCTCTTCCTTCTAACTTACCTGTAGTTAATTTATCAAATAAACATGAAGGAACATAAGAAGGAATGTTGTTTTAACCAGGGAAAGACTTCAGTACACTGTGTTTTTCAAGTTCGAACCCTCCAACGTTTATCTACAAAATTAACTCTCTGGATTATGATTGGTCTGATCGCCTGTCAATCAAATTCCCTGCGAAGGGTCAATTGATTGGATCATTGTTCTTCCCTGCTCTGATGACATGTTGACTGGCATGAGGATAGAACAACCTGTCAGTCACTCACATAATATCACAGCAACAATAAGCCCCAACCATCCAACGATCCAATCAATTCCCGATGTACAAAATCAAGTCCTGCATGTTTTTCTTGTTCGAGAAGCCGTTTTGCTCAATACCATTTTTTCATATTTTAATCATTTGGATTAGAATATAAGACATCTCTGTCAGAGGGTAAAATTATTAATGATGTAGACCTATAACTTTAGTATTTTAAATTTTAGTATTGTTTTATTATAACATGCTATGGGATGAGGAAATTATTTTATTTTCATTAATTTACAGTAAAATTGTGTTCTTTCATGTGGGTGTGCCGAAATACAAGTTTGAACAGGAAATAAAATCTATTTTGTTGGTCGCTTTTGGTATCTGAGAGCTTTTTAACCTGGACACAATGACATCAGCAAGTCTACAAAATAGATTTGATGCACTTTTAATTAAAAATTAATTGAATAATTTTAATTCATGATGTTTATGGAATTTTTTTACATATATTTTATTTATGCATTTTGTTAAGATGCCTTTTAATACTATAATAATATGGAATAAATAATTCTATGGAATAGATATAATATGGAATAAATAATTCTTATTTTGTATTTGGTTCAGTTTTTCAGTTTGTTAATTAGAATAGATAAATTAAAATAGATAGATAGATAGATAGATAGATAGATAAATAGATAGATAGATAGATAGATAGATAGATGGATAGAAGAGGCATATGATTTGAATGAATAAATAATTTATCATAAATACTGCATTATTCCATAAAAATAAGAATTATCTATTTTGATTTTAAGGAGAAAACTTAATTAAAACACAAAATTATTATTTTATTTATGTCTATGCTGTGTTTAACAAATGAGGATGTTTTCAGGCATTTTTAGGAACATGTAGGAACTATATAGCACACACACACACACACACACACACACACACACGCACACATGCACATACGTATACCGGCTCTGAAAGAATATGTCACATGATGTGTGTTACTGGAAGTGTAGTAAAATTGCAAAAAAAAATAAAAAAAACTGCAAAAATATTTATGATTTATCTCAGGGTGTTGTCATGTCACTGTCATGAAAGCTGACCGTTTTTTTTATATGCAAACAACTTAACTCATATACAGCTGCACTGAAAAAGAAAAAAATCAACGTTAAAAAAAAACTGTAAAAATAAAACAGAATAAAAGAATCACTGATCGGTAATTACAGGAAACTTCCCTCTACGCAGCATTTTCCCCAGCATTACACCCAATTGTTGTTGCGTAATTTCCCCTCTATTTTTCTCTACACTCGGCATCACTGTTTTTTATGGGTTTATGAGAGGCACCTGATCATAGACACTAAAGACTCCTATAAAAACTCAGATCTTTATTCTCACAAACACTGAAACACAGCTGACTGACATCAAGGAAATCTATACATTCCATCACAAGTAAGTACTCAGGTTTAACCACATTTCAGACCTATGGAACTATACTGGAACTATACAGAAACATGTGTGGGAGTGTTATAGAAGAAAGGAAACAGTGACATATGCCACTCAGTTCTGTTTTAACTTGTGCACCTCAAACTTGTCACATCTCTTTCTTTATGCAGGATGAGGCTTTTGGTTGTTGCTGCTGCTTTTCTGGCTGTTGCCAGTGCTGCCAGTCTTTCTCTGGAGGACATGGAGTTCTACGCATGGAAACTGAAATTTGGTAAGAGAGTTTCCTTCTTTAGTTGTATTAAATTGGGAAAAAGATTCAAAATGTTCTCTTCTTTACTGAATGAAAAAAACTAGACCAAACAGACAAACACTGAAGCCGTTCAGACTCAGACAGCGAGCAAAGACAAAAGTGCCAAAAATGCAAACAGTAAAGAGTAATTTTTGCATCTGGATCATGGTATCAAACAGGTTTCTTATGGGACACTGTGAAGGTGACAAAAGTCAGGAGATGCTTGTGAATGTAACATTG